TGTTGTTTGGCGGGTCCGGGCTGGGGATTCGAACCCGCCACCTTAGGTGTACGTGGCTGGCGCCTTAGCCGGTTGAGCTATAGGCGCCAAGCCAAGGATTCCTACTTTTACATACCAGGGTCAGGGTGGGAGGGTGGGGTGTCCTAATAGGGCTCAGAGCTCATACACAGGCCTTTGGAAGTTAAATTACATATTTCAAGAAATCAAGTTAAATATAAAGCCATTATATACAATACCTGTGGGACAGAAGAGGAAAGTTTCTGGCTCTCCTAGGTACTGATAAATTTCATTTGTGATGGAGACCTGGGCATGAGCAAAAGAACTGAATACCTCTTTGTCTGCTGCACACATGTTATGGTCAATGTCATCAAAAAGCAAAGCAAATGACCTGCACCCAAACTGAGAAACCTAGAAACAAACAAACAAAAAACCAGATGCTTACTAGCTCATCTTACAGTAAAAATTCCAAATATTAAGTTACATATTTAATAGTTACACTTAAAGTAAAATATTTCCCTTAGTACAATGTTCAAAGCCAGATGTATTGTTTTTATACGTTCAATGAAAGAAACTCTAAAGCTAAACAACTAAATAAAATTTCAGGACCCCACTTTTCTTTTCTTTTCGAGACAGAGTCTCACTATGTTGCCCTCAGTAGAGGTGCTGTGGTGTCGTCACAGCTCATAGCAACCTCCAACTCCTGGGCTTAAGCAATTCTCTTGCCTCAGCCTCCCAATTAGCTGAGATTACAGGTGCTAACTACAAGGCCCAGTTATTTTTTTTTTAAATCATTGTTGTTTGGCAGGCCCAGGCTCGGTTCGAACCCCCCAGCCTTGGTGTATGTGGCTGGCACCCTAGCTTCTGAGCTACAGGCATGGAGTTGGGACCTCATTTTTCATTTTGGGTTTGACTGCAACACAGATTGACTATTTCATAGCCACAATAGTTGGAAACAAAATTGTTTCAGATTTCAGGGTTTTTTTTCAGATTTCAAAATATTTATATTATGTACAACATCCCTAATCTGATAATCCAAAAATCCAAAATGTTCCAAATAAGCATTTCTTTGAGCATCACAATGGCACTCAAAAAGTTTCATATTTTCGGGTGGTGCCTATAGCTCCAAAGAGTAGGGGGCTGGCCCCATATGTCAGAGGTGGTGGGTTCAAACCCAGTCCCGGCCTAAAATTGCAAAAAAAAAAAAAAAAGAAGAAAAGTTTCACATTTTGGAACATTTCAGATTTTAAGTCTTCAGGTTAGAGATACTCAACCTGTGTAACAAACTGCCAACAAAGCCTCTACAGTGTGGCCTAGATTCCTACCTCCTTGGCTGGTGACTGTGGAATATCCAAAGGACAAAAAGAAAACAAACCAGAACAAAAAATGAAACCATAAACAAACTCAAGACATGAAAAACCAGGTTTTGCTCTAGTCCCCAAAGGCACACTGATCCTAATTAATTGTTTTGCATATAAACCTAACTAGGCATGAATCAGAAAGAACATTAATAGTAGAATTTGATCAATAGGGAAATAAGCTCATTCATAAAAATTTTAACTACTTTAGATTTTTTTACCAGCATTTTAATGCCATCAACATAAATCTTTGCCTAAAGAAATACGTATATAGGGGCGGTGCCTGTAGCTCAAAGGAGTAGGCGCCAGCCCCATATGCCGGAGGTGGTGGGTTCAAACCCAGCCCCAGCCAAAAACTGCAAAGAAAAAAAAAAAAAAAAAGATTTCAGGATTCTAGCTCTGAAAAAAAAATAAAAATAAAAAAAATAAAAAAAATAAAAAAGAAATACGTATATAGAAATATCAGCAAACTTAAATAATGACAAATGGGAGCCCTACACTTTACTAAAACGTTCAGCTTTTATGTTAAATAGGCTTTAGATTCAAATCAGGTTTACCAACAACTTACTTGTCTACTTAGTATCTCTTCTAATCTTAGAAAACCATTTTCAGACTGAATTACATTTCTTGCCCATGTAACTGATAGAACCAATGTCTAACAGTTAAAACTTGATTTCTGTAACTTCAGTCACATATTTATTCAAGCACCCAATGGCATATATATTAAGAGTTTCTCGATATATGATTCTGGATCATCTATCCCAGAATCACCTAGAATCCTGGTCCCTACCTGATGTCAGCACAGCAATCTGGGAATGAAGCCTAGCAGCCAACAATTTTTAAGCATCACTTCTAAGCACTCTTTTAGACAGTTTTTTCCTTTCTTTTTTTTTTGAGACAGTCTCAGTATGTCACCCTCGGTAGAGTGCCATGGCATCACAGCTCACAGCAACCTCAAACTCTTGGGCTTAAGTGATTCTCTTGCCTCAGCGTCCCAAGTAGCTGGGACTATAAGGGCCTGCCACAACACCAGGCTATTTTTTATTTTTGGCTGGGGCTGGTTCTGAACCCAGAACCTCTAGCATATGGGGCTGGCTCCCTACTCCTTTGAGCCACAGGCTCCGCCCCTCAGACTATTTTTTTTGTTGTTGCAGTTATCATTGTTGTTTAGCAGGCCCAGGCTAGGTTCAAACCCACCAACCTTGGAGTATGTGGCCAGCGCCCTACTCACTGAGCTATAGGTACAGAGCCAAGATCTCTTGAGCCCAGGAGTTTTAGACCAGCCTGGGCAACATAGTGAGCGCCCATTAAAAAAAAAAAGATTGGGCAGCACCTGTTGCTCAGTGAGTAGGGCACTGGTCCCATATACCAAGGGTGGCGGGTTTGAACCCAGACCTGGCCAAACAAAAACAAAATAAAAGGGCTCGGTGCCTATAGCTCAACCGGCTAAGGCGCCAGCCACGTACACCTAAGGTGGCGGGTTCGAATCCCCAGCTGGACCTGCCAAACAACAATGACGGCTGCAACC